TTGACTTGAGCGTTTTAATGAGTTTACAAGGATCATTTTTATTTTACAATAACTTACGGGAGAATTAAAGCATGATATTTACTCAAAAAAGTCATTTTTTAACTTTTACAAGCTTCTTCTAAACTGCAATAAAACAAAAATACTCCAATTCCTTATTAACAGCTGAAAAAAGCAAGTTCCACTGACTATTTTGTTAGGCGACGAAGAGATATCTTCTGGAGATATACTATGAACTTAAAATGTAGGCCTACCGGTACTGAAAATTGTGAGGGCAAGTATAAATTGCTTGGTTTGGATACAGAAAGGGCAAGACTTAGACAAAACGACAAGGACGACTTTGTATATCTGGCAAATTAATGACGGAAACGTATTTTTAAAACCAGCGTTTTTAGCTATATATTTGGTGGTGCATACTGTAAAAGATTCTTGATATTATAGTTTAGGTACTGGTCAAAGACTGCTAGGCCTAATTATAGTAGGCCTACGACAATTATTTTGGTTGTGTTAAATTCATTTTATGCTACAGTGGCCATGCTGTATTGTAAATACATTTTATTTCATTCTTGGTAGGGTTAGTTTTATCAGGCACCTTGATAAATTAGTTTGGACTAAGTCAAAGAATGATCAAAATATTATGAAATTATCCTAAAACTATAATGCTCAATTGCAATAGTTGGGACTGTTGATGGGAATTAAAATTCAGATTGAATAGGCAGAAAAACAATCACAAAGTATATAAAGAAATAGGCCTACCTCAGAAACAGGAAACCTTCAGACTAAATTTCTATGAAGGCATCTTGAAATATTTGTATTTAATTCTTATTGTGAATGTGCTTGACTAGGTCACTTATATAATTTGTATCTTTATGGCCTATGTTCCACTAGGAGGATGTAAGATCTTTAATGTCCCTTCTGCAGAGAAGGCGACTCTCCTTATAGGAGAGTACCAAGAGGAACTGACGATTTACAAACCTCCTAATACTACGTATTCTTGTGAATTGAGATTTTGATGTTTGAAATAGGTTATGTTTGTAACTGTATGATTATTGCTTGGTATTATTCTTGCAGTGTCTGCAAGTTTAAGTATTTGTATTTGAACTGTTGTGAACTGTTGAACGATTGTGAACTGTAAGCTTGGGTTTAAATAGGTTTAGTCATACCAAAAAGTACCTGTCTAAATGTTGTGGAAGCTCAAAAGTCACGATGGTCACTTCACTGTAGAATACTAGACTAAAGCTCGACATTGCAAGTTTTTTTGGGAACACGGTCAAATATACGCGAGTTACACGATATTCGGCTTTAATGGTACTATGTCATTCAAGATGATGGCTTCAAAACGGATGATGTGAATGGTTTCAAATTAAAAAACAAACTAGACTGATTTAGGAACAGAGAAATTTGATTTATCTAGGTCTAACGATATTTAACATGTTTTGGACATATGTTTTTATTGGTTCACGTGTTATCCAGCTTTACCGCTTATCTAACCCTGCCGCAGATGGTATTCTTGAAGAAATATATTCTAATCCTTATTTAATGGCCTCATTACCCTAATATGAACTGCTTTTTTAAAAACGAATCAAATATACCATGTTCATAGTTGAAACGAAAGTCTCAGTCTATTGCTAATGTCTTCCAGCTTTTTAAACCCTCTTCTTACCCACGACATCGCTATCATGGGCCCAAAGTCAAAGGTGCTACCGACTGAACCACCCACTTGCTGTGTTGGATTGATGTTGCTAAAAAAATTAAAGGCAATTGTAGTATAAGTAATAGCAAAGTATTGAAATGTAGTTTTAAGTATAAAATACTTAACTAAAAATTTTATAAATTTTTAATAATCATTTTCAGTCTTGTGAAGAGGGTATCATCAAATTACGAAATGGAGTTTCGAACCCCCAGACACCAATATACTACTTGGTCAATCAGATCCTGTACCCTGTCGTTCAGGGATGTGAAACAAAGGATCAAAGGATTGTTAAGGTAAGCCCACCACCACCACCACTTTATATTACCAACTTAATTCAAACAAGACAACGTTTCTTCAGTGTAATAGGCCCTAATCTAAAGTTGGAATATTTATTTTTATAAAATCAAATTAAATTGTCTTTATTACTTTATTTCATAGTTGTTCATGGAATGGTGTCGAAAACTTTATCTAAAACTTAATTAAAAGAAAATTTAAAATAGAAACTTTCGTGACTATAAAAAATAAAACACCAATTTGGCATAAGCTATATCATATGTTCCTCTAAAGTGTGTACAGGTAGTGATAACAAGTGGTACTTAAACTGTTTGATTTTTTCATTTAAAAAATTATTTTCTTTCTTAATTTGATTAGGCAGTTTAATAAAAATTTACCTCTAGCATAGGTAGTTTTTTCATCCAGGATAAGTTTAGTCATCAACAGGAGCTGCGATAGTACCCCTATTTCTAGTATTGTAGTAGTGGCATTACCCTAATAGATGTCAATCTGCAAAATGTTGCCTACAATACATGATTAGGCCTACTTCATAAATGTGCACACTTTATAAAATCATTATTCCGGGAGGTTTTTGAACTCCTCCTTGGCGGCGTCTCTCCATCATTTAATTATTTTCCTCATTGCTGGGCTTTGTAAAATTAAAAGCCTATCTAAGTTTCTTTTACTTGTAGCTCTGTAAATCCAGTATACCAAAGTTTATATTTGAATGAATTGAATATTATTATATAACTTTTAGTGTTTCAAGACCACAAAGGTTGGATAGGTTATACAACGCATTCAAACCCAAAGTGACCTTTTTAGCTACTTGTTCAATGTGTAAATCCCAACTTAAATTTGCTACTCATAACATTGTGTCCAACTTAAATTGAACCATGCTTTCAATTACTGAATGTTATTTTGATGTGCAATCTTCTAGGTTAACTTGTGTAATGTGTGTATACAAGGGAACAAAAGTATTAAAAAAGCCTGAAATTGTAAAAATGAAATATTGTTTGAAGTTGATTATCTGTTTGGTAAGATCTCAGAGGTGTTGTTACAATAAAGAAATTTTGTAATATTTTAATTCTTATATTAATTGCCGATTAATCCAACAGAAATGTTTTGGAGACAGCTCAACCTGTAAATAAAATATCACAACTATTTGGACCTTCCCAAGTTCACTGAATTACTAAATTTTTTTTTCAAAACCTAAACTCAGTCCCCCGTAACTTAATCCTTCTTTTTATATCAAGTTTTTATCTTTTAATCCACTCACATAACTACACAATACAGCTTAATTCAAAGATAGTAGGCCTACTCAATAATGAAAGGCTTGAAACCATAATTAATAATTTGTGAATTTAGTCATTCTTAAAAAAATATCTGGATTGGGACTTCAATATTTAAACCAAACATTAAATTGAGATGAGCCAGTTACATTTCACGGTACTGTACTTTGTGACTTTGGGTTCAATAGCGGTTACAGTATCTCTTATGATGAATAGCTCCAGCGAGAAAAAGATATCATTATAGCCTCCTCTCCTGTTTTTGCAGCAGAATTGTCAACCTCCCACGTTTGATGAGACATCTTCAGTAATTGCAATGACATCAGGAATTTTCATTCCCACAATCTTCACAGACACTTTGCGATTGTGATAGTATCACAAAGATTAAAGCTTGACTTGGCTCTATGTTCAGACTTAGTCCTCAATCACTCAAGCTTTTAGACTCTGCTTGGCTTAAAAACAAGCTGCTTGAAAACTCTCAGTATCTTAACCCTGAGGGAATTCTGAATCACATCCAATCTAGCTAGGGTCTGTCAACCAAACGTGGCAACATTAGGAACATTGCTGTGATCTCCCCACATTGCTCCGTCTGTGTTTGGGATCTCTCTTTAGTGTGCTGTGGTGCCGCTGCGATTCCGTCTTAACTAGGCCTAAGATCCTTCATCCTTATCAACATTACAAAAATATGAAAATAGGACTTTGAAAACCTGTGAATTTTCTTTTCAAGTTTGTGTGGAGACCCAACCTAATCTGATGTCCTCTATGAGTTTTGTGTAATACAGAATTTTCATTCGATTTAATTTTATTCATTTTTTAAAGACTTTTTGTTAGTGATTATAAGTTTTAGTTCCACCCAAGTTTGTTTGGTATATTTTTACTTTTAAAAATAAACATAGCTGTAAACATTACAACAAAATGTGGTCTTAGTTTAGTGAAAAAATAAATAAATAAAATTAACTATATCATCTTATGTTTCTAAGACCTGTACTGCACACAGAATTTTCTGGGGAAACAGTCGTAACAAAAGTGATGTTTTTTCCTCCTTTTTTCAGAAAAAGGCACTTAGTATATTGACCCTATTAGCTCTTAAAGCACATTGTACACTTTGGTTTACCACAACAAAGATTTTTACTGGCATTAACCTGTATATAAATGTGTGTGTGTGCGTGTTTACTTGATGTTAGATCAAAATTAAAAGACTTGGCTGTTAAAAATTATTCCCATTATCATTTAACTTGATCCGACTCACTACTTAAAACTCCATCACACGGAAAAAGTAAATGTGACAGTAACCACTCAATGATGAGTTCAAAGTTGTTCAATGCACTGCATTCTGAAACAAGAGCGTTGCCTGAGTCTGTTTTTGAAAGATAAGTTTAGATTATATAACTGGCTGGTTAAACATTCTTTTTATGGCATTAATGAGTATTTTGATGTAAAAAGTTGTTAAGTTTCGAGGTTTTAATGGTTTAGGAGTATATTCCACTTAGCCTATAGCCTACTTTTAACTTTTTAACTGTTGCCTTTTAAATGTCTGTGATATTAGCTTATTAACCCATTCTTGACTAGTTTACTGTGTAATCACTTGTTTCTAATCCTTTGTTACCATAATATGTTTTATATCGACCATGTCTATTGCTTTGTTATGCCTAATAACAATTAATGATTTGATTTGAATGTAGATTGAAGTATAGTTCGGGCATCTGGCTGGGAAAAGAAATTCCCTGTTTTAACATCTTACTTTGATGTAGATGTGCCTGGGGATAATCCAAAGGCTGATCACAAACCAAGTTGTGGACCAGAAGGGAGCAAGATACATCACAGATACCTTGTGGATGTTGATGGAGTCAGGGACAGAAGAGGTCAAGATCCTACAGTCAGTCACGCTGCTGTTGACTACCAACACTGTCGTACATGGGGATACACTAGCCAGGGTAAAAATACAGTAGAAACAACCTAGCCACTACTGCTTAGAATTCGCCTCTTAGATTTAAAACTACAGTAGAGCGTTGATTATCCAAAACAATCAAGGCAGAGGGGTGTTCCGATAATTGATTTTTCAGATAGTCGGACATGAACTAAAATTACAATATTTTCTTGTCAAGCGTGTGACAAGCCTTCTTTCCTAGTGGGTAATATTTTTGTTATTTGGCCGGGCACCGATTGTTTGGGTAAGCAAGCGTTGGCGGCGAAGCGAGCTAGCACCCTGTGACCCTGCTCATCGGTCCCGATAAGCCTAGGGTATCCTGGAACTTCAGGATAGTCTAGAACAGAAATTCGAATCGTGGATTTGGAGCAGTGAGTTTGTGTCTGGTGGAGACGTCGTCGAGTGTTAGTGGACAGTGGACATTTTAGTGTCGTTAGTGTAATCATACAGAGTGGTTGGAGTTTAAGTTGGGTACAGACTCCACTAGTGGTGAGTGACAACGTCCCTTATATTTTGGTTTAAGAGTTGATATTTATTATTAGTAATATTAATCTCTGATTTTATTGGTCTGTTTGTAACCGTGCTGGTCTAATCCTGATGGTAGCTAGGATTTACAGGTGTCAGAAATAATATTGAAATATGTTCCTCTTGGTTCTGGGCAAGTGTCAAACCGCAGATAATATATATTTCTTGTTTTTGGTAGTTATATTGCTTTGTGCCACGAGTTAATGGCTTTACTGGTAACTCTGAGGCCCAACAGACCTAGGCTACCGGATTTGGAGTGTATAGTTGACCGCAAGTGGCCAGTAGGCTTGTAGATATATTACAATTAGCCTAGTAAATAGAAGTTCCCCTAATCAATATCACGTTGATAGCAGCAGTAGTGGTATTACTGTTTTTACTTAATAAATATTTTATGGTTTTAATTTACCAAACAGCTTGTTTCTGGATCCAACTCGTTATCTTTGTAGCTTGGATATTGTAGTAGGCCTACCCGCTATTTTTTAGTGTTAAATTTAATACACTGCTACTAAGTAGCTCAATAATTTAGTAGTAGTGCAACTGGCATTTAGTTTTGCCTTTTGGCCTGGTATTTATTGAGACCAGCAACTTAATACTTTTAATTGAAATGGCGACCATACAAAGTAGG